TTGGTAGGTGCATTTCCTTCACAAGTTTCACCTTTGAATTTTTTAAGTGATTTCTTTGCTTCTTCATATAAAGTTTGTTTGTTCTCGAAATTCATTCCTGTCAAGACGATCATTCTTTCTTCTTTGCTTATCAATGATCTGAGTAATTTGAATGCCAAAATCTCTGGGGGTACAATGTAGCTTCATATTTTTCTTTTCAATTTTTCTGTATTTTGCATCGAAAATGGATATGTATTCATTGATAGACTGTCCATCACACCTTTTAATATCTTCAAATTTTTCTAAGCTATCTGCCAGGTCATCTTTGGCTAAATGTTTGTCCAAAAATTGTATCAATGTTTTCAAACCTGTGTCTTTTTTGAAATCCTCCAATTTCAGCTGATCAAACACTTTTTCACGTATCTGGGACTCATCATTTTCAGGAAGAGATAGGGCAATAGCGACACCTTGTTTCTTTTCATCTAACTCTGTGACTTCTTTCCATGCCAAGAGTTCTTGTTTGTATAGTTCATAACTTTTGATTTTGGGGTTGTAAGATGGGGGGGGGGGGGGGTTGAATTTTATTGACATTTTCTCAGTTCGCTAAAGTCAAACCTTTTTTATCATTCACCAAACACTGAATTGTAATAATTAAATGTCACACACTTGCTTACACTGTTTTCAGCACTTGTATCCTTAATTTTTCTTTCAACCACGTTCTGCTACCATTGTTAGACCATGCTTTATTCAGCATCATCCACTAAAACTGAGCTTTATAAAATGAAGAGCTCCCTTGTGGGGAGATAAGATAAACATAAACTACAGTTACTTCTCTTTGCATATAACACATAAGTAAACTAACACCTACAGGTAGATGTAGATCACAGTAACAAAGAGAAAATGCATTTCCACTTTTTCATTATCAGTTGTGCACCCCATCCCATAGGAACCACTGACCCTGGGGCAACATTTTTTTTAGAAATTTTATTTCATCACATTGTTGATTAATACCAAAGTTCAGATTTCAGAGCAGTAAATCATTTTCAGACCCCCCCCCCTTCAAGTAACTCTGTCCCAGGTGCCAGGAAATGAAGCATTTTTGTAAGAAGCAGCATTCTTCATCATAAATATATACTAAGATCATTTTCATAATACCTAGGATCAAAGGAAAATATTAGAGCCCCACCCTAACACAAGAAGCCCTGACCCCGGGGCTCTGAAATTCACAAATCTTAAAGAGGCAACCTTCCTCCTCATAACTATGTACATATTTCAATGGTTTAATACCCAGGTGCAGAAAAGAAGATTTTTAAAGAGTTTATGCATTTTCACTATATGACTGTATAATCAATAAAGCCCCACCGTAACTCGTGAACACCCAATCCAGGGGTCATGAAATTCACAATTTTGGAAGAGGCAGCCTTATTCAACATAACTACATGTTTGGTTTGTTAATTAAATACCCAGGAGCAAAGAAAAAGATTTTCAAAGAAATAATTCATTTTTTACTATACAATCCGCCCTAGCACTAGAACCCCTGGGGCCATGCAATTCACAATTTTGGAAGAGGCAAGCAGTCTTATTCAACATAGTTATGCACTTGGTTATTTTATTTAATGCCCAGGAGCAGAAAAGAATAAGTTCAAAGAAATAATGCATTTTTACTATATAATCTATAAAGCCCAACCCTGCCACTAGAACCCATGACCCTGGGGCCACTAGATTCACAATGTAAGAAGAGACAGCTTGATTCAACACTTAGTTATTTAATGCCGCAAACAGAAAAGAAGAATATCAAAGAATTAATGCATTTTCACTAATATAATCTATATGGCCCTGCCTTAGTACTAGAACCCCTGACCCTGGGGTCATTAAATTCACAATTTTGGAAGAGGCAGTCATTTTCAACTCAACTATGCACTTGATTACTTTATTTAATTCCCAGGTGCAGAAAAGCAGACTTTCAAAGAAATAATGCATTTCCACTATAAATATAACCTATTATGCCCCGCCCTAGCACAAGAACCCCTGACCCTGGGGCCATGAATTTCACAATTTTGGTAGAGGACGTAATGCTGATTACAATCATATCAACAGTTTGACTGCTTGATGTCCAGGAGTAAAGGAGATTTTTTAAGACTGCACTAATTTTAGTGGTTTTTGCCCCACCCCCAGGCTCCAGGGACTATGAAGTTCACAATTTTTGTTCCTCTTTACCCATCTATGCTATATGCCAAATTTGGTTGAAATTGGTTCAGTGGTTTTAGAGAAGAAGCTGAAAATGTTTAAATGTTAATGCACTGTGGCAACGCACTTTGAAAAAATTACGCACTTTGAAAAAATTTTTCAAAGTGCGTAAAATTTTTCAAAGTGCGTTAAATTTTTGACACACTCAACGCACTTTGAAAAATTTTTTCAAAGTGCGTTAAGAATGCACATAAACATTTTTTACCATGGAGGCATTTAACGCACTTTGAAAAAAAGATATGTAAAAAAAAAATTCTAGACTTAGATTTTAGTAATAGAGGAAATCAAATTGTAATAATTATATCTTTCGAAAAACTATTTAAAAATTTACATGAACTCATTTAACCTCATTGAAGACGAGTAGAAGGTCTCTCATCCCAACTCTTTTTTCTTAAACATTGTACATAGCTGTCGGTAGCAAATTGAAAGTTGACCCCACAGGTAAGCCCCAATTTTTAATGCATACATGTATATATTATGTATATCTTTGCAAAATATTTATATGCCTACATCAGGCACGTAGCATCGTTTTTTTTACTTACCTGAAAAAGTTGACAAGCTAAAAAAAACCGAAATATTAAATGTTGCCCAAAGTCGAGAATCCTACTTCTGGGGGTGGGGGCGGGGGTGGTAATGGCTACCTTTTTTCAAGACCAACTTTCTTTCAATTCAAACTTTTTGGGGTAAATTTTCTTTATAACACTGCACTGTGCTAAAATGTGGGGGGGGGGGGGGCAAACCTTTCTTTCAATATACATTTTCTATAGTAAAGGTAATGTCGGGAGAAAAAGTGGGGGGGTCAGGCCCCCCCCGCCCCCCTGATACTACGTGCCTGTACATGTAACCCCCTTTCCGGTACTGATGCCTATGCTACACCCAAATATATGTGTTTACATAACTGGTGTGACGTTGAAAACTTTCAATAAATCTAAGTTTACATAAAATGCATGCAAAAAAAAAATAAGTACAGTAAAGTATTTAAGCGAGAAAGAATTTTCAAAGTATGGAAAAATCAAAATCGCTCACTTTCACTTCCTGAAGTGACCTCTTCACAGAAGAATTATCAAACAGGTTCAATTATTTATCATACCTAAGATTTGCAGGAATATTGACAAATCCATACACAGTTTTTCAAAGTGCGTTAATAAGGTCCATATTAACGCACTTTGAAAAGAAATTTTATTTTTTCAAAGTGCGTTGACGTGGTCCCAAAATTTAACGCACTTTGAAAAAAATTTTCAAAGTGCGTAATTTTTCAAAGTGCGTTGTAACAATGCACGATGGACGAAAACGAATAGCAATAAGTCACCTCAAGTGACCTAAAAATAATTGGAGAGGTCTACATTATTGCAGCTACTTTAAACATAAAGTAAACTAGGGCTAGAGCAAACACAATTATAAGAAATTTACACTTAAAGCAATGTGATATTCATTTTAATTTTAAAATAAAGAAGCGTTTTATACATTAAACATGTTTAACTGTAATTTATTACCATTTATTTTCTTAATGCATACAGAAAAATAGTACCTAACTAGAACACTGACCAGTCAGCAAGGGCCCCGCCATGGGGTAGAAATAAAAGGGTGCAGCTTACAGAATGATTAATAAATGTACAAAGAAAAAGCATTTCAAGATAATTCCTGAATATTCAAAAACCTGAAAATAATATCCTTGTGTTTACATTTGGCAGTAAAGAACAACTTAACATTGAATGTATATTTATACAATTATGAATCTTGTGTTATATAAATGCCAGCGTTCAATGAATGCAAATATCATGAAGGCTTGACCTTAACTTCAAACAAACAGCAGTTGCAGACAAAGGTTTTCATTAATCTTAAAGTGACAGATAAAGAAAAGCCTACTAGATTTTCTGCAGCAGGCTAGATAATTAATCGCAAGGGATTAATTGTACATCTCACATCATTTTATTCTAAATTTACAATAAGAACTTTTTCAGTATTAATGATAGAATGGGGTTTTTATACAACTACATTAAAAATTAAAAATATTCTTGAATTAATATATTTTTTAAAAAAAAGTGAGAAAAAAGTACCCTGGTAAATCAAAAAATCTTCTTCAATCTATTTCTTTTTTTTTTAGAATTCAATGAAATCAAAACTATCAGACAAAAATAAATAATAAAAATTTCAGAATGTTCATAGCATTCCAAATTGATTTAACTTCAAAACAAACTTCATTTGCAGACAGAGGTGGTAATTAATCGCAATGTGACAGATAAAGATAATGCTCTGGATTTTCTTCAGGAGGAAAGCTAATTAATCCCATGGGACTCCTAGCAGCATTCAGTTTACTGAATGGGAACATCTTCAGCAGTTATCTCTCTTTGCCAATGCATTCTTATATAAAGTTAAGGAATCTACCCCACCACCCCAGCTCCAAACCAAGGGACATAGAGAACCAAACTTAGCATCAAAATATGTATTTTTGCCTACTGAACTACCGTACCAAATTTGATCTTAATTGATCAACCATAAAAAAGTTGCCTGTTCATTCTTATGCATAGTTAAGGAATCTACCCCACCACCCCAGCTCCAAACTAGAAGACATAGAGAATTAAACTTAGCATCAAAATATGTATTTCTGCCTATTGAACTACCATACCAAATTTAAACTTGATTGGGCAACCATAAAAAAGTTATTAGAAAAAAAAACAGAAAATTTGTGGACGGAAGAGTGACAGACGGACGGACAGAGTGATTATTATAGGGCACCAGCAGATCCTTGCGGGGCCCTAATAAAAACAAAAACTTGACTCTGATACTATTTTTACTTTATACAGAAATATATACATGTAATGACAAACGAAAAAAGCAATGAATCATGATTAAAACTTATTCTGTCAATAGATGTGTACATCCTGCCATATAAAGTCATTCCTTTGCAAAATGGAAAGTTGGTAAAAATGATGGTAGGTTATTAAGTGCAATATTAATTGCTTCAATATGTAAATACAAAGTATAAATAATCCACCTAGAGCACAGAGCATCCATAACATGAAGTTTTTGTTTTTGAGGTAGGGCTAGCAGTTTTTAAGAGGATTCTTTCCCTAATCAGGAAAGTGACTGTTTCTCGTAGCCTTGTCCTTAAATAACAGTCTGATAAACACACTTAAACACAGCCTCACAGGTCGGGATCACATGATCACATGGGGTCACGTGATTGGTTGATCTTTGAAGCCACTATTTTTCCATATCCTCCCCTTCCTTCATCATAATCTGTTCTGTATTCATCTCGGACCTGAAATTTAGGAACAAAAAATGTAGGGCATAAAAAACAACAGACCCAAGGGCCACAAAGCTCACTTGATCACTATGGCTAGGAAAAAAGCATAAATTAGTTAAGTATTGAAAAGCTGAGTGCTATCCATTATGGGAAGGGATGGGGTATAATTTGAACAAAATTGGAATAAACTGGAGTATACGGACAAATAGTTCCCATGAGCGTAGAATGAAGCAGTTATTCGGTGGAAACATGTAGAAATTAATTTGTCTACCACTTACCAAAATTGAATCTTCTAATTATGCTTACATAATTTATCTGTTTGACTTTGGTGAATTATTTCCTAAACTTTAATTGTGGCATTACCCTTACCCTGGGGGTCTTGATTTTAACAAATCATGCTTAATAATTTTTTTTTTACTAATTGCAACTTTTTTCTTTAGCTTTTCTTTAACTTTCTTGGATGCCCCACCCTACCCTGGAGATAATAATTTGAACAAAGTTGATGCTTTAACTTTTGAGAATGCTTCGACATAAATGAGCAGCCATTTCTTTGCTGTTCTTCAGAAGAAATTGAAAATTTTTTTTTATATATATATTCCTATGTAAATCTTTGATTTTGTAATTATCTACCCCTTGGAAAATGGCATGGGCCTTTATTTGAACAAACAATGATACACAATAGATAAATTTCGATCAGAAAAGCTCACTTGAGCCTTGGGATGAACCAAAAATTAAAACTATAAAAAACAATTTACTTTCAAGAAAAAAATTTAACTTCAGTTAGCTTTTTTGAAACTGAAGGACTGTTGAAATCAGCATAATCAGAATAATTTCTATTTAAAGCAATATGAGCTGCATTTTTGAAAATTTTATTTTCCTGGTAAAATGTGTTATTATCATTAATCTGTATGTAATCTAAATCCTTATGATCAATAAAACCAAAATAAAGTTTAAAAATGTTTCAGAAGAAATATTTATGTACAACTGAATACACAGTATCATATAAGAAATCATTATTGTACAGGACAACAGTAATTCAATTTTACTTCAATCAAAGCATATAAAAAGTTCTTTCATAGCAAATATGAACAACAGAAGTTTATAAATGTTCTATTTTACTTTCATTGAAATAGTTAAATTAGTTAATTATAAATTTGCAACATTTTTTCCGATGTCAAACATGCAGCTCATATTGCTTAAAACATGTTAAATTATACAGATTGATTATTTGGGAGCCAGTCAAAGCGCCCCCTAATAAAAACGTCCAGGTCAAAGCGTCCATTAACTTTAGTCAAAACGTCCCCTGATTTTGGTCAAAGCGCCCCCTAACAATTGCATATTTTTACAGAAAAAAATATATTTTATAGAAACAATCTTTACTGTCCCTGGATTTGGTCAAAGTGACCCCTAATATACTTTTACAGGGAAAAAAACTTTTCGAGTCAATCCCAAAGCAATGGTCAAAATGTCCCCTGATTTTGGACAAAGCGCACCCTATAGAATTAACTGCCAAACAATGATAATATAATAAATTCAAAACAGTTTTATTCCGTATTTTGTAAAAATATAAGGGGGCGCCTTGAACAAAATCACTTGACTTGTAACGCTTTTATTTTGGGGTGGTTTTGTAACATCATTTTAGTATAAGGGGAACTTTGACAAAAATCAGGGGACACTTTGACCAAAATCAGGGGACGACATCATTTTACTGGATTCCAAATTAAGTCCAAAATCGGGACGCTTTGACCGGGAGACTTTGAGATTTATTGACTTGTAAGAGCTAGTGCATTGTAGACAGAGTTTCTAATTTGTGGAAATTCTAATACTGTACCATATTCATTTGATAGATACAAATTTAATGACCTGCCTCAGGGTGTGAAATAGAAATGGCTTTGTTTATGTTGTATGTAACAAACCCAATCATGGGTTCCGATACATTTAAAATGTTTACCTGTCCCCCACTTTTGCCCCTCCCGTATTGTCGTCCCTCCTTAAAGCCGTGATCCCAGTCCGTACGAATGATCCGGTCGTCCAGTCTTGTTCCGTTGATGTACCTCATTGCATTCTCTGCGTCCTCTCGTGTATAGTATCTTGGTAGTTCAGGAAAAACTAACTGCCACAATTAGTCATTAATATACCTGGTAATTATTTGGAAATTAAAAGTATTTCTTTTTCAAACTTCTGTTTCATTGGTTGTATCCCTTTAGAATTAAATTAAAAAAAAAATGTTTCTACATCCTTATTCATTGTTCACATAAATTAGCGACATGATTTAATTTGTTTTAACATGCTTAATTGACTTCATGATCATTTGACTTTGAAAAAAGAACCTTAATATAGAGATAAAAATGTTTTGTTTTTTATATCTTACCACAATTAACTTATATATTCAATTTTTCTCTGCCAATTTTCAAAAAAAGATCTTAAAATTCTTTAATTATAATAGGCCCCTAATGACACAAATGTCAATTATTCCTTTATAAATTTGTCAAGTAAGTGCCATTTTTGTTAAATTTTGCCCTTACAGCCATGCTTTTATTAATGCAATTTTTTAAGCTTTTAAAGTTTTGTTTTTTTTGAAAATTCAAAGACATAAAAGTAAATTGTGAATGTCATGTAATCTTAATCATATCAGCTAATTTTAAAAATATTCAGTTTATCTTGGGGTATATCTTTCATAAATCAAAATAACTGTGTATTCTTATTACGTTTTGAGAAACTGAACCCAATCATCACAAACCATAACACAGAGAGAGTTATACTGTGGTTTCATTAATATTTGTCAAGCACCAATTTTCAAGGATTTCGTTGTTTAACTTTATCTAAATGTTCATTGAATTAAGAAATGTGTTATTCATTTGTATAGGCAATACCTTTGTCCATGAAATTACATATCCTCTAAAACGTCATGAAGGTTGATGCCTACGAAAATTAATGAAACCACAGAATTTGGTCTCTGCACTGCACTGGTTTGAGACGTCACGATGACTGAAATGTAATTGAATGATAATCACTTAAAAAATGAGTTTACTTGTCATTTATAAATAAACACATAAGACATCAAAACACAGAAGGATACTCCACAAAACAGAATCCACAGGGCGTTTTCTTGACCTTATCCAGCCCCATGACAATTCGCTTGATGTCGCCACATTTCCCAAACAGCTCGTGGATCTGTTCCTCTGTGGTGTAGTACGAGAGATTTCCTACGTATAACGTAGAGGACGTCAACAAAGCTTTCTCCTGGTCCGCTCGGCTCCCCTAAAATGTAAGTAAATTACAGTGTTTTCGCCTGTTATGCAAATTATCCCATGTTCCCTACTATTGTTGATGCCCTGGCATACTATGATAACTAGACAGTGATTCCTTAAATTAACCTTTTAAATTCTAATTTTAATGTTTATTTAAACAGATATAAAATATAAACAATAAAATGTCTTTCATTTGTTGTTAGTACATGTACTGGAATGAAAGTCTCAGCTATTGCAGAAAAAATTTACATAACCCGTTTACAACCAAAGAAAGCATTTTATTGTTTATAATCTCTGGTAGCATTTACAGTATGTATTCTGAGCTGTACAGCCACCAGTGAGAAAATCTATCCTGAACAAGATATCTCCACTTTTAATGTCTCTGTCCCCAAAATATGCAAACAGAATTTTCCCCATCAGGCAAATCATCTAGAAGTCAATGAAGAGTCAGCTGCAGAAATGTTATAAAAGCTATGCCATTGGGGTTAAATGACCAGAATCTGAATCTGAGGTGCTTGAAAAAGGTGAGCCATATAGGTCACAGCAATCAGAATTGCCTGGCCACAAACCCCATTTACTTAAAACTGGAAAATACATGGTAAAAGTATGTATGGAATTTCAAAATTTAATGTTATTATTGTTTAGTTGACCACCTACTTGTTTAGGAGGAAAGAAGAAATATCAAAATACAGTAAAACTCGTTAATTACAAACATGGACATTGCGAATTCACGGTTATAACGAAGTTATCTTGGATCCCTGACTAAGTATATTTAACAAATTCCTTATACGGATATAACGAATTACGGATATAGCAAAGTAATTTCAGAGGTCCCAGTGAATTCGTTATAACCGAATTTTACTGTATCTTTTGAGGTTGGAATGTGACTGCATGTATGTGAGGGGTGTTTTTTGGTTCTTACATCTGAGGATATTTGTGGTTGTCCAGGGGATTTTGACATTAATGGTTGTTCAATTCTCCAGGGAAATAAATTCTTAGTTTGTGCAAAGTTGAAAATATTGACAAACTTCTCCAATCGGGCAAGTAAATATTTTAGATACTAAAAAATGTTTTATCTACCTAACAATAGCCCGAAACTAATTTAACATACTCTGTTTAGTATGACCGCTTTCAGACAAGTTAAAGTTTAAAAAGTTTATTTGCCCATAACTTAATAGACCATTTCATGGTAACTGCGGCACTACTCTCTTTCAGGGCAAAATGGTACATTTTGGTGAAATGACGTAAAAATAATTGTTAAATATACGTCATTTAATCATCTCTCAACAAAAACTTCACCAAACGCGATTATTTTGCCCCGCAAAAGAGTAGTACCACAGTTACCGTGAAGGGGCTAATAGACAAACGATGAATTTGTTACATGTATTATCCATTATTCAGGTCCAGCACAATACCCTGATAAAAGTATTATAAATACCTTGATCAAGGTATTTTATGTAAAGAAAATTCAAAAAATTCTTAAAAAATTACATACTGAAAGTCGATTTCTGAGTTGTTGTCAGTAAATTCACCAATGCATGTAAAGTACTCATGCAACCACAAAGAAATCAGTATAAAATCATGTCGTGTGAGGAGACGTTCCTTTATAAATGCTGTCTTTTTGATACCAGAGTGTTTTTCATGTGCGAGTGGACACACTAACAAAAACTCAGAACTCAACTTTCAGTTTTAATTTTTTAAATTTTTTTTGAATTTTTATTACACAAAATACCTTGATCAAGGTATTTTTAATACCTTTATTAGGATATTGTGCTGGACCTGATATCTATGCTACAAACAGGTCCAGTCCAAAGACTATATTATTTCTACCTACATAGCAATTAATAGCTACTTAGGTATTTAAAGCTACCCAAAGTAGCTATTTTTACCTACTTTTTATAATTTCTGCATTTTGCAGCACAAAGACCAAACGGCGCAACATGGTGAATACCATATCTTTTGATACAGTCACACTAATGATGAATACGACAAAATTTTGGTCGAAAAATGATTACTTCCTGCATCGGCAATTTTACATTAGTTTCTATGCAAAATTGATAATATCCGAAGTAATCATTTTTTGGCCAAATTTTTGTCATATCCATCATAAGTGTGACTGTTTCAAAACATTTTGTGCTAACCATGTTGCGCCGTTCCTGCATTTGGCCACAAAATGCAAGCAAAGCAGAAAGTAGGTAAAAATAGCTACTTTCGGTAGCATTAAATACCTAGGTAGCAATTAATAGAAATAGTAGAAATAGTAGAAATAGTCTTTGGACTGGACCTGCCCAACTCTTTCCTGTTGTTATGATTTTCCCCCTCTGTTACAGGTAGATGGAAGCCATTGGAAGGGGTAGCGAAACATGCATTCAAATTTCAATCTGTATACATTTCAGAGAGCACTACCCTTTATGTAAACAAAGTAAATAAAGTGAAAGTACGTTTTTTCGAGAAAAGTTGGGCATATCAAAATCAAATTTTGGATCAATGTAATTGTTACCCATAAACAACAGGTGAAGCTTTAGATAAGTTCAGAGTGTGTGTTTATCTTTACCTTAAAATGTTGGTCTCTATATGAGCTAATCGCTATTGATCCAGAAGGAAATTTTGCTCGAAAAGCGGACATTTCAGATTTTCTTCGTTTTCGCGTGGTTAACTGGTTCTCCGCCTGTAGCTTTTCTTACTTCGGAACTTCTCAAATTTCTAGTGGATATTATGATCGTAAACCTAAAAGTGTTCCGAATGTAAAAAGCATGGCCACCAGATAGCATCTAGCATTGGAAAAAAAACTCTGTGGTTGAACATTATAAGAGGTATTTGATACTTTCAATGCATATTTATTTTTCAAAATTAAAGCTGAAATAAGCAAATATTATAGAAATAATTTATGAAACATTAAGCTTTTGTCATATCATTCCGTTTAAAACAGATATGTAAAAGATGCGTCTATTTGCCCCCATGGACGGAAAGGTATAATGCCCTGATTGACCTGATTACATATATATGCTGAAATAAAGAGTTTTAATGTGCATAAACAATATTATTTTTATTGGAAATTTTGAATATTATCATTTTCTAGAAGAATCATCAAGAAAATGCTAAATAAAATATTTTTTATAAGTTTTATTTGACATAGAAAATTGACAGGGGTATAATGGAGTGTGACTAAAATGGGTAGCGAAACCCGGGCCGGGCCGGGAATTTCAAAACTGAGATCCGGATTTTAATAATTACGAGATAAATACTCATTCTTTCTTCATGAAATTTACAGACATAGTTAATAAGTATAGGTTTTGCCTTCGCTGAGAATTTTAAGTTAAAATGTTTTGTTTTTCGATAATTTTCGCCGATTGTCCTTTTCCAGGTGACTAAAATGGGTAGCGAGCCCGGTTTACTCATTTTGGCGATTTTAAGCTTAATGCATCGAAAGTGTTTGTGATATTTGCATTAAATGGTTGTTTATTAACTTCAAGAAGTTAAATTGTTCAATCATTATGAAATAAAATGTCAATTATGAGGGTTTTTGTCATTTTTCATAGACCCGGGACGGGTCAAAACCGGACGCGTTTGCCCGGGACAAATTATATAACTCCGGATTGCCAGAGAAAGAATGTAGATTTTTTTAGTCCCTGACCGAGATACATCTAAGAAATAAATTGGAAAAAATTAATATAAATTTGCAAAGCAGAAAAGTGTCATTTAGATCAAATTATATGTTATTATCTGACAAGTATTTCGGAAATAAAAGGTTTTTCACGGGTGAACGTATCCGGTTTTGACCAATCCCGGGTACACAATAAATGCGTGTATTTTCAATAATCGTGATTTATTATTGCAACAGTTAAATGTTTTAGGTAGTTTAAGTTCAATTTCAAAGACCCAAATGAAATAATTGTAAATAAGCTGCCGAAATTAACTTTAAATCGCCCAAATGAGTAATCCGGGCTCGCTACCCATTTTAGTCACTTTGAAAAGGACAATCGGTGATAATCATTTAAAAACACAATATTTTGACCTAAAACTTTTAGCGAAGGCCAATCATAGAATAATAAACTATGTCCGTAAATTTCATGAAGAAAGAATGAGTATTTATTTCGAGATAATCAAAAACCCGGTTTTCGTTATCGAAATTCCCGGCCCGGCCCGGGTTTCGCTACCCATTTTAGTCACACTCGGTATAATGTCCTGATTTTAAGGTATAATGACCTGATGACCTGATAGTATAAAAACTTCTAATGAACCCAACTTAGCAAAACTTAAAATTTACAACTTGATTAAATTTATTTTAAGGATCATATATAAAAGTAGTTAAATTCAGTTTGGGTTAAATTATCTATTGCATATGGACAGGTCCAGCACAATACCCCGATTAAGGTATATAGCTTGATAAAGCTTAATAGCTTTATCAAGATATTTAAAATACTTTGATCAAGGTATTTTATGTAAATAAAATTGAAAAAAATTCTTAAAAAATTAAATAATGAAAGTCGAGTTCTGAGTTTTTGACAGTGTGTCTATTCGTGCATGAAAAACACGCTGGTAAGTGGTATAAAAAAGAAAGCATAAAATAACGTCTCCTCTTACGACTTGTTTTTATACTGATTTGTTTGTGTTTGAGTACTTTACATGCATGGGTGAATTTACTGACAACAACTCAGAAATCGACTTTCAATAATTAATTTTAAAAGAATTTTTTTGATTTTTCATTACATAAAAAATACCTTGATCAAGGTATTTTAAATACCTTGATAAAGCTATATAGCTTTATCAAGCTATATACCTTTATCGGGGCATTGTGCTGGACCCAGGGTTTGACATTAAGGCACGTCCGACCGACAGTCTAGTAAATGATGGGTTCGGTCGGGTAAAAACTAGACCGACTGGTTGTGTAAGAAAAATAAATGAACTTTTTAAATTTAAACATATCATTTATTGTCAATGTAAAAATAAAATGAAAATGTTCCTAACTGCATAGTAGAAAGAAAACTACGTACGTTACAGACAGCGTGACTGATGTGCTATTTTTAACAACATTTATTGTCGGCATTCGTAACAAAGCGGCCATTTTCCTAGAGAGATGCAATAAGTTATTTATCATTCACAGAAATGGCCGAGTAGTTACCATTGTCATTGTCGAAAATTCACATTTACGACATCGGTAAACCGAGTACTTGTAAATGGCAATAAATTACAGTAATAAAATTATTTTTACTATACATAAATCCTCTGAACAATTTCAATGGTATCAATATTAATAATGTATACAAGTTGATAAAATTAGGACTAAACACGACAAGCTGCACGTAGATGACCTAGTTTCGATGTTGACATGTGAGCGGGAAAATGTTGTTATATAAATAATACGGATTCACATCTGCACAGAAAAAAAATATCACTATTTCTTACTTTAGATTTTTTTCCTAAAGTTTGGTCAGGGCTAGTGATTAAAGGGTCAGGGCTAGTAAAAATTTGCCAGAGGAGCCTGACTGGTCTAGTATTCCAAAAGCTTAATGTCAAACCCTGTGGACCTGATGGAATCAAATACCCAGAGACCCAAAAACATGTCTCGGTATAATGATCCCATACACAAGATAACTTACCCATGAATGTTCAAAATTATGCCGAATAAATATTAAGATAAATTATTATTAAAATTTATATTTACTTTATTTCAATTTCTTCCTATAATAATTTAAGGAATGAATTAAACATGTTAAATAGCTACCCATTTTATACGGTATAAACTGGGTTGGGGCAGTTTATGCTTTATAAACCGCGAAGTGGTTTATAAAAAAGCGTATTACTAAACTGGTACAACCCAGTTTATACCGTATAAAAAGGGTAGCTATAAAATTCATTGCTTATAATTTAATTTTCATTTATTTGATGTAAGAAAAAAAGAAGATTGTTCCAACAAAATGACTTCAATATTGCAATATTGTACAATATTTGAATGTAACAACAGGTGGATTAATACCTTTTTGACGCAAGTCATTAAATGTGACGTAGGCAACCCATTTTATACAATATAAAATAATTTTTTATCCAATCAAATACAGCATTACAACCAGAATTAAATTATAGACCTATAATCTGTACAATGTTTGAATGTCTAACTGCCAAGCAACAAAATCGAATTTTTATTGCATGAAAAATAGAAAGAAGGCAAAACAACTTTACATTTCTGGTCCTCAGAAAAATACAGGTCTTTGCAAGAGAATTTTTAAACTCTTAATCTCATGATCAATCACATGCGAGGACTAACTCTAATCTCCTGGGAAGATGCTAGACTTGATAGAGGTACGAGGACTATAACTATAAGCTATTGGAAGAAGTAAAGTATTGCACAAGACTAACCTAATCAGTTAAATGACATAAATCTGAGGTCATGGTGCAGTGAGTGCGCGAATCTTATGGATTTTGGATGACCGTAAAATCAAGTACTGTCCACCTAAAACTAGTGCTTTTCTGTCTTGCTCAATTTAATTTTCTCATATACAATTTAGTACTGTCAAAGTAATAATGCATATTGATTATCATACAGCTTTAAGTTACATGCAGTAACCTACCTGTGTCTTGGGGAATTTTCCCCTAAAATTTGGGAAAAAGAGTACTTTTTCAATTGGGACAGGTTTCTTTCACTGAACCTGGATGCAGGGGTTTGAAGCCCTGATTAAGGTATAACTGCACTAATAAGTAATCACAGAGAAAAGATGTATTAATGCAGTCATAGAATAATGTTTACATTCTCTTTCGTGCAGCATCAGAACCATGGCGCCCTACCTAGACTGGCTTCAGTCCCACTGGATCTGGTTGAGTCTGGTTTTACTCCGGTTCTCTCTGGTTTTCCTTCCACAACAAGGATACATACATCCGGACGAGTTTTTCCAGAGCACAGAAGTGGTAGCAGGTACTTGTATAATGATCAATGTTATTGAATATGAAAACAGAATCATATGAGCAAAGAATTCTGTTATGGATTTCATTACTGGTATGTAAATCAATTTAATGGCCCAGAGCAGGTCAAACTGGTTGTCAGGAGATGTTCACTCCTCTGAGGCACTAGATTAGGTTTCAGAAGGATCAATATTTTTAAATTTTGCCCGTCACCTATAGGCTTTATGTGACCTGGTGAGTTACTATTATCTTCAACTTTTTTGTTAAATGCCAAAAGATCAAACTTTTGCTTTCCAATATTTTGTCTTTTTAAAATACTGTGACATCTTCATATTGATGTCATTTGCCAATGATATAAAAAATAAAGAGAGAGACATATTTGAAGAAAATTGAATGTGTTGTTAAATAAGAACTTAAGAATTTTTCATTTCTCCATTTCAGGTGATGTTTTGAATATATCGGTGCTGCGGAGCTGGGAATTTTCTGCAGGACTGCGATCTGTACCAACTATCTACTTCCTGTCAGGTCCCTGGTTTTATCTGATGAGGGGGATTTCCCAGTTAAGG